CCTAAGTCACGCGTTTGTTTGTTTTTCTTTTTCCATTTGTAAGCGGGTAATAAACTAATTTCATAGCCTTCTTTTCGCTCTTCCATGAAAAATGAAACAGTTTGCACGGAAAATTGCAATAATTTTGTGGTTGAAGATTTAATCTGACAAACTGGTGGAGATTTGCTTTAAAGAAATTTGACTTCGGCTTCCAGATGTCTGTGAAATAAATACGTCTACCCCACCTCGGCGCCTTGACATGAAACACCCTAGAGTAATTCTCCTTTCAAGCTACTTTAAATTTAGACATTAGTCTGGAGAATTTGGTTTTTGATCAAAATAACAACCTAAAACTGATAAGTATGTTTACTCTCTCCATCTTTTGCTTGATAATATATTGGAATTTCAAGGAAAATTTACAAGTCATTTCATACCATGAGGAAGAGGGTTTGATCGACCACACAGCAAGTTGATGAGTGACCAATTTTTCGATTTTATTCTATGTATCTCATGAATAAGGTGCTCACGATGTTATTCGATAAAAGGATTGGTCACAAGACTAGCTATTACTTCTAAACTTGATGAAAACGAGAAAGAAAATAAGTAAAAGAACGGACTGATCCTAATATACGACGGAAAGCTTATCAAGAGCAAATTCGAAGTGACACGAAGAAAAAAATATTTCCATTGTAATATTCCTTTTTTTTGTTCGTAGGTAAAACACGATTTCGAGTGTCATTTGGTGTTAATAAGCACGAGTTAATTTTTCAAAGACAATAAAATTGCACCACAGGTGTGAGATGATCATTTTGCGCAATAACGGTTGGCGGAATTATGAGTTTGAATATTTACGACATACAAACTCTTATAATTCCGCCATGACCGTTATTGCGCAAGATGATCATCTCACAGCTGGAGCTTGGGCCGCCTGTGACTGCACTAGCCCGTAATTTATATGGAAAAACCATCAGAGCAAGTCAAGAGGGACAAATAATGACAGCGTGCGCTATTTGTAACTTGCAGTCGTGTTACAACTTTGTAGTAGCGTAACATGAAAAATGCACTCGTTTTCAGCCACCTAAAACTGTGTAATTTTTATCATGTATCTTATCATTCTCGTAATCATGTGCATGTTGGTACTAACACTCTGTTCATTAATCCTTTTGTTCAAGGCTTTTTTTAATATCTTCTTTTCAAAAGATGAAATGAGACATTTATTTTTTTATCGTTGTTTTGTTGAGAGATATTTATTTCATTATAAGTTGATTTTGGTTTTCATCTGTCATATGATCATAAAATTAGACTCAGTATGTTTTCTGTTTCTGTTCGTCCTGTATAGCTCACAGTGCTCTTGATCATTTTTATGAACACTGGTTAAAATTCATGGCATTGTTTTACGAAAAAAGTATTTGCAGTAAACATGGAGTGTACCTAAAGCAATGTGAAAAAATTTGACCCTGATAAATCGCTATATGCACTTATAAGAATTTTAATTCTAGTTAATTTTTTTACTTCTTATTAAAACTGGAAAATTTTCCCCCCTCCGGAAACAAATCAAAACATAAAAGAAGGTCGGTGTTTTGGCTCGAATACAATATTTACTGTCTACCCAGAGTAAAAGCTTGAAATTGTAACGGAAAATCATTTCAAGTTCCACTGATTTGGAACTCAACCGGCTGGACGTTCATACACATTACGCTGAACGAGTCAACGCATGCAGCCATTTGCGAAATTGTAACCAAAAATATAATTTCATTTTTTTAATCAACGTCTTTTTCGACTTTGCCGTCCTAATAGTTCATGAATTATTATTCAACGCCAAGTTTCCTATTCATTTGATCTATCTGTAACAACCGTCAATTCAGCGTCAATTCCATGTTTCCTACGCTCAGCACACTGTTCGAATACAATACCACATGAGAAATCCTTACAAACAAGCAACTGTCCCTGTCCCTAGCCTTGAAAATTGCCACAATATCGTCTAGAGCCTTAGTGGTAATGGTTCTCGACCAATGAGCGCGAGAGAATTTCTACAGTTGTTATCAAAAATGTTTTTGACTGGTGTTCGCTTCAGATGAACAAATCGAGAAGAATTGTGCGCCCAACAAACGGATACGCAGTAAAGGGAACACAAATTTCTAAGAGAACTAATTACTGGGATGCCTGTGGTGGCCCAGTCATAAAACGCCTTTGTTTTTTTGTCGTCTTTTTTTTTCCTCCGCTACAAAATGGAAAAATTGCGTAATATTACCCAGTGGTCATTGGGCCCTCAACACCATGGCAACTAACTGTGATCCAATGAAGGTGAAGGTGTTCACATGCTGATCACGTGTGTTATCTTGATGGCGATTGACGTTGTCATGCATGGACAGGGCCGGGTCACATGACGAACCATGAAATTTTTGCTTATAAAACTCTTTTGTCAGTCAATTTGTTTTTGTTCTGGGGTTATTGTTTTGGTAATGGAGATTCAACGATTTGGGTTACGATTACCTGGAGCTTTATGGTGCAAACGCTCAAAATACTTACAGACGCATACACAAGTAATATTGTTCACTACTTGGAACGGATTGAGCCCCATCCTCAAGGAATTTGTATGCTGTTAGAAGTTAACATCTTAAATGAGCTGATAAACTATTCTGAAGGTCTTCATCAAAATCCAAATGTTTTATTTGAACTCAAAGGTGTACATATTAATGAAAAACAATGTGATATGACAGATATTTCTTATCAACAGTTGTCAGCTGTCCCCCTCGAAGCAAATCATGCAGATGCTGAAATTACAACCATTAATATTCCCTTGTTATGTTGTTGTGCCGCATCTTTTTTTAGCATTTTTTTTCCATTATCATATATTGTGGGTATTGGGAATTCACATACTCTATAGATAGAATCACTAAGCATGCAAACAGGTTTTACAGAGAAAAACTCAATGGCGATAAAAATCCACACACAATCAGCAATTTCCCAAGGACACTTAAATATATGATTCAGATATTAATATTGCCTTTAACTTGGAGAAACAAGGAATACAATGATGTACATCTCTTGGTAGCAAATTATTGCTTCAGAATTTAATCACAGATAATACTAAGGACAATACTGGGTTTTTAATGTGGATTTCAAATTATTGCCTCAGCTGTATTTTTCAGCACAGTAATATGAAAACAAAAGCAAAAAAGTGTTAAGTAATCTATTATAAGATTCAGTCCTGATAGCACACAGGCGACCCAAGCTCCAGCTGTGAGATGATCATCTTGCGCAATAACAGTCATGGCGGAATTATAAGAGTTTGTATGGAAATATTTACGACCGCTCTAAGGAATGAAAAAATAGATCAAATTCTCAAAAAAAAAAAACCTCACCTTACCTCCACAGCGTATTGCTTGTTATCTGACCGCTTACTTTGATGAAAAGAACGCATTTTAGCGAGTTGTTCATTTTGGGTTTTTCAACGTACATAAGAAAAACGCTGAACACTCCATTTCCAAACGCTCGATCTGATAAGCGAAAAATTCCAGCACAAAATGACCGGGCGGCCACAAATCCAACGCAGAATCCAAGCACATATACTGTAGTTTCATTTCAATTCACTACAAACTCAATCTTCCTCGTGCAACCGACGCTAAGCCGCAGTTTGCTTCAAAAATTTCCAGTTCAGAGGTTTCTCACAGCCCGCGTCCACATCAACCTTGACACACGATCGTTGACAACCAGCTAGGTAACCTTACCTCCTTTTTAAACTGAGCCTCGCCGGGGACCCCACTGTAACTTAGCATGAAGAATTGTCTTAGCACCACGGTTGCCAAGTTACAGTGGGGTCCCCGGCGAGGCTCAGTTTAAAATGGAGGCAAGGTTACCTACATTTGGATTTTGAGAATTTGGCGTATTTTTTATTCCTTAGAGTGGTCGTAAATATTCCCATACAAACTCTTATAATTCCGCCATAACCGTTATTGCGCAAGATGATCATCTCACAGCTGGAGGTTGGGCCGCCTGTGGATAGCACAGCTTTTCAAAGTAAGTTAGGGATGGCCCATATTATGTTTGCTCTGTTTGTAACAGAATACTATACAGAAAAACTGTTATCCAGTTAAAAAACAAATGTACAACACTTAGCAAGAACTATTTACTGAGTTGTATACCCATGATTCCTCTCCGTCTTGGAATGAACTATCGCCGATGACAACCTTTTTTCGAAATAGATGTATGCCCTTGGGTAGACTTGAGCTCGCTATTTCAGTATACTAGTCCAACACCCGTAGTATCACTACAATTGATCCCAAGGATCCATTACCATCCAGGTATCCCAGTTACCCTGCTCACAGGGTCTAGTTTCAAAAAGAATAGGAATGCGAAGACTGTTATCTGAAATCCTACTCAGATTCTTTGTAAATATTTTCCTTTTTTATACTTGTTTTGCTTCTTTTTGTTCCAATTTAACGGCAGACCTAAAATGTGCAGCTGTGATGAATAACACACAAGGCATCCTCAAAACCATCTGGATAGGTTTGAATGTTGCTAAATATCTTCTCAAGACTGGTCGTGTGCTACAAGCGACTGAGTTATACGATGAAATTTTAATATTACTCCACAATCTGGACGTCACTAATCACCTTAATATCACTGAGGTAATATTCAATGCATACTACCCCATCTCTGGTTACGCAAATGCCGCAAGATACACCAAAAAAATTCTTGAAATGTTTCACGAAGCTGGAATACTAACCATACGACTAGCTGCCAAATATAGTAAAGAAGGTAAGCTTGCACTGGTTAAAAGAATTTTGGAAAGTGCAGTGAATATCACTAAAACAAATGGCCCATCAAAAGCAGAATGTGTGGCCTATAGTTACCTTGGATGTACTTTGATATCACTCGGTGAGTATCAGAGAGCTAGAGAATATCTCGTGAGAGCCCTTGCCATAGCTATAGAAATTGGCGACAAAGGCGGAGAAGGTGAATCGTACGGTAGCCTTGGAAATATGTTTCAATTATTTGGAGAAGACCAGAAGGCTAAAGAATATTATGAGAAAGCCCTTGCCATCGCTATAGAAATTGGCGACAAACAAGTACAAAGTAAATCGTACGGTAACCTTGGAAATGTGTTTCAATTACTTGGAGAATACCAGAAGGCTAAAGAATATTGTGAGAAAGCCCTTGCCATCGCTATAGAAATTGGCGACAAACAAGTACAAAGTGCATTGTACAGTGACCTTGGAAGTGTTTTTAAATCGCTTGGAGAATACCAGAAGGCTAAAGAATATTATGAGAAAGTCCTTGCCATCGCTATAGAAATTGGCGACAAACAAGTACAAAGTGCAGCATACAATAACCTTGCAAATTTTTTCCAATTGGGTGGAGAATACCAGAAGGCTAAAGAATATTGTGAAAAAGCCCTTGCCATCGCTATAGAAATTGGCGACAAACAAGTACAAAGTTCATTGTACGGTAACCTTGGAAGTGTTTTTAAATCGCTTGGAGAATACGAGAAGGCTAAAGAATATTGTGAGAAAGCCCTTGCCATCGCTATAGAAATTGGCGACAAACAAGTACAAAGTGCATTGTACAGTGACCTTGGAAGTGTTTTTAAATCGCTTGGAGAATACCAGAAGGCTAAAGAATATTATGAGAAAGCCCTTGCCATCGCTATAGAAATTGGCGACAAACAAGTACAAAGTAAATCGTACGGTAACCTTGGAAGTGTTTTTAAATCGCTTGGAGAATACCAGAAGGCTAAAGAATATTGTGAAAAAGCCCTTGCCATCGCTATAGAAATTGGCGACAAACAAGTACAAAGTTCATTGTACGGTAACCTTGGAAGTGTTTTTAAATCGCTTGGAGAATACGAGAAGGCTAAAGAATATTGTGAGAAAGCCCTTGCCATCGCTATAGAAAGTGGCGACAAACAAGTACAAAGTGCATCGTACAGTGACCTTGGAAGTGTTTTTAAATCGCTTGGAGAATACCAGAAGGCTAAAGAATATTATGAGAAAGTCCTTGCCATCGCTATAGAAATTGGCGACAAACAAGTACAAAGTAAATCGTACGGTAACCTTGGAAATGTGTTTCAATTACTTGGAGAATACCAGAAGGCTAAAGAATATTATGAGAAAGCCCTTCCCATCGCTATAGAAATTGGCGACAAACAAGTACAAAGTGCATTGTACAGTAACCTTGGAAGTGTTTTTAAATCGCTTGGAGAATACCAGAAGGCTAAAGAATATTATGAGAAAGTCCTTGCCATCGCTATAGAAATTGGCGACAAACAAGTACAAAGTTCATTGTACGGTAACCTTGGAAGTGTTTTTAAATCGCTTGGAGAATACGAGAAGGCTAAAGAATATTATGAGAAAGCCCTTGCCATCGCTATAGAAATTGGCGACAAACAAGTACAAAGTTCATCGTACGGTAACCTTGGAAATGTTTTTAAATCGCTTGGAGAATACCAGAAGGCTAAAGAATATTATGAGAAAGCCCTTGCCATCGCTATAGAAATTGGCGACAAACAAGTACAAAGTGCATTGTACAGTAACCTTGGAAGTGTTTTTAAATCGCTTGGAGAATACCAGAAGGCTAAAGAATATTATGAGAAAGCCCTTGCCATCGCTATAGAAAGTGGCGACAAACAAGTACAAAGTACATCGTACAGTCGCCTTGGAAATGTTTTTGAATCGCTTGGAGAATACCAGAAGGCAAAAGAATATTATGAGAAAGCCCTTCCCATCGCTATAGAAAGTGGCGACAAAAAAGTACAAAGTTCATCGTACGGTAACCTTGGAAATGTGTTTCAATCACTTAGAGAAGACCAGAAGGCAGAAGATTATCGTAAGAAAGCCCTTGCCATCGCTATAGTAACTGGCGACAGGATATTTGAAGGCAAATTGTACAGGAGCTTTGGAGGAAATCTCTTGCAACTTAGAAAAACTGTTCAGGCTAAAGTTTATTACGACAAGGCACTCACCATAGCAACAGAAATTGGTGACAGACCATCAGAAATTGAATGTTACGAATGCTTAGCATTTGTGTTGACTAGCATTCAGGACTATCAGACGGCTAAAGAATATCAAAAGAAAGCGCTTGCCATTAGCATAGAAATTGGCCATATAGAACACGAATTAGAAATCCTTAGTAACCTTGCACAGACATATCGATTAGTTGGTGAATATGTTGTTGCCGAAGAACTCAGCCAGGAAGCATTGTTTATATCCAGGGAAATTGGAGCTAAAATGTCAGAGTATAAAATTCTTCTCGGAATCACGTTCTTAAAATATTCGCAATTAAAGCATGAGGATGAAAAGACCTTTCTCCTCGAAAGCATTCAAAGATACGAACAACTGCGAAATTCTCTAGGAGGAAACAAAGAATTTGAAATATCCTTGTTAGAGAAGTATGGTTCTTTTCCCTACAAGCGGCTCAGTGACCTGCTTTGTGATCTCGATAGTCCTCGCGACGCTCTTTATGTCGAGGAACTGGGACGAGCTAGAGGCCTTGCAGAATCATTGGCAAGCAATTTTTCCGCGGTAAACCACATCTCAGCTGATCCAAAATCATGGTTTGGGATTGAAAACATCGTAAAGAAAGAAAGAGGCTGTGTTTTCTTATACATGTCGTATTTTGAGACGTATACTCATCTCTGGGTATTAAAAGGAGATGGAGATATTAACCATCGCATAAGCTCAATCGTGATAGACAGCAGTCTCATCGCTGAGTCACTTTTCAACGTGGAAGGAATTTTCAAAAAAAGTGCCGTAAAGTTCGGCGTCAAATTGAACGAGAATTGCGAAGGTCGTTCTTTACAAGGTTGTGGAACCAAAGATGACGAGTCACTTCTCCATTTGTGTTACAAACTGATTTTTGCCCAAGTGGGCGATTTACTCACCGAGCCTGAAATCATCATTGTGCCAGAGAAGTGTTCTTACCGAGTCCCGTTTGCTGCTTTGCGTGCCGACTCAGCTGGGAAGTATCTGTCAGAGACGTACAGAATCCGCATCGTCCCCTCTTTGACGACTCTTGGCGTTATTCAGGAATGTCCGGCAGACTATCACAGTCAGACTGGCGCACTGGTAGTGGGTGATCCTGATGTTGGCAAAGTTTGTTACAAAGGGCGTCTCCGAACCTTTACAGCATTGGCTTCTGCGAGACAAGAAGCAAAGATGGTGGGTCAACTAATTGGTGTTCACCCTTTGTTAGGAGAGTGCGCAACAAAGCAGGCGGTACTTCGAGCCATACATTCGGTGAGTTTGATGCATATTGCTGCTCATGGAGATGCCGAAAGAGGAGAGGTTATCCTTTCCCCTCAGGGTGCTGCTAACAAGTTTCCACAAGAGGAAGATTACATTTTGACAGTCTCTGATATTTCTAAAGTTCAGCTGCGAGCTAAATTGGTAGTTCTTAGCTGCTGTCACAGTGGGCGTGGTGTGTTTAAACAAGAGGGTGTCATTGGAATCGCTCGGGCGTTCCTAGCATCTGGTGCACGTTCAGTGTTGGCAGCATCGTGGGCCATTGAAGATGAAGCGTCAAAGCAGCTCATGGATCATTTCTATGAGCACCTTGCGAATGGAGAAAGTGCTAGCGAATCTCTCCACCAGGCCACCAAATGGTTGAGAAGAAACGGCTTCACCAAAATTTCCCAATGGGCTCCATTTGTGCTGATTGGAGATAACGTGACATTTGACTTTACGAAAATGAGGTAAGCTATATGCTGGCCTGCTAAATGGTCTCGGCAATCTGAGAAAAAAATAAATATCAGCAAGCTAAGATGATTTAGTTTTACATGCCAGAAAAATATCAACCAAGCGACTTCAGGTTCAGACATGGTATGACCCCTTAGCTCCCATAATTATCTGTACTGTCTGACATACAATTCTTATGATGTCAGTTTCGAGAATTTGGTATTGGATCAACTAATAACCCCCTAATTAACATTTTAATTTATTTTCATCACATCTATGCTTGTTATTGTATTGATATTGTGAGGAGAAATTCTCTCTCGGTCACTCATGGGAGGTAAAGGGTTAAATTTGGTAAACCCTATCCCAAAGGAATTTTTACTCGTGTGCATTGAGTTTTAAATTCTACCTCAAATTCTTAATGTTTTTCTTTATCTGAAAATTCTAATTTAGGAAAGCAGAGCAGAGGAAGTACGACGACGAATGAAAGACTAGAAACGGATCCTTTGCGAAGATTCTACTTCCGGTGCATTGCCTTAAACAGGACATGTGATACTGTCAACAAAAGAATTGAACTGGAAAGGAGAAACTAAACCAAACCTTTTGAAATGTATGTCAAGATTCTGATTCTAAATCAATTAGAAAAATTGTTAAATGTCATATTTTACAAATTTTTTTTTTTTTTTTGAAAAACGCTTTTGAATGACAATGGTTTTGATTGAACTGATTTGTCAGAGGACTAGCAGGTTGCGCCAAAGACTCCATTTTGGTAATCAGTAAACTAAACATTTAAACAAAACAAAGTAAAACAATAAAGTATATCCAGGAAGAAGTAACTGAAAAGAAAATTTTTCAGACAGTATTTCATTATAGAGGATCGCTAATTTGTTTAATAGTCTCATCTGAAAATGCTAGGATTGGGAGAATTAAACGTAGTTATGAAACCCGAGAGAGAATTAAAGGTTTCCTTAACCCGTAACTCTCGAGATCTGATCGGTAATTCTCCTCTCTAGCTGCTACGCATATCCTTGTAAATTATTTATGAGAATTTGGTGTTAGATCAAGATAACGACTTGTACCTGATAAGTTTGAAGATTCTCATTAGCTGTTTGCCGGATAATTCAGAGATATTATAGAGAGAAGTTTTATGTTGATCACTTCTGGGAGTTTAAGGGTTAACAGAACCCTTCCAACCCCGGATAGACACACGGCAACTTGGAATTGGAAACTTCTCAAGAAATATTTCGAAGTTAATCCTCAGAAAGTCAGGGTAATTCCAATAGTCCGTTCCAATTTGTTCATTTTTTGCGTAAACTCTTCGATCGAGCACGCACTTAACGAAAAAGTACGAGCTTTTCTTGCCTTTTTCCTGTGCTACGAATTTTCGTGAAACGATGAGTTTTTTCCTTTTTCAAATGCTGTGTTTTCATTATCTAATCTTGTTCCTGTTTCAATATAAGACAGTGTTCGCTTTCGTTTTTTGCTGATCGAATAGATGAAGTTATCCATGATGAGGACTCGAATCATCTTTACCTACCCTTTTGATCTGTGAAATTGTTGAAAACCTTAACCCTCAAAGTCATTAAACTGAGTTGTGTTTTTACAAGAAAAAAGTCGGCAACTTGTGGACTAGTGTCACTCTTCTATCCCCTGGAAATGATAGTCGTTACCTTTTTAAATTTTCGTACTGTTTTGTTTTTCTTCCAGAACTATATTATGTTCTGCAAGCCTTGCTTTAGATTAGCTGGGCACAAAAGTTTTCTTACAAGTAATCAAATATTTTTTTAAATATACATCTTAATTATCAAGAGGTCTGGATAGAAGCAGATGTGTAGCGAATTTAAGAAAATGAAGGACACTTTTAAAAACATGTTTTGACAGTTCTTCTGTCATCTTCAGTTCTGAATAATACAAAGTCCAAAGCTGAATTTAAAGTGTGTAACAAAATATCTTAATTACAAATGATGCAAGCCTTAAGCCTTTCATTTCACAGTGTTTTTTTTTTTTTTTATATGATCTGCGTCTTGCTGTTTACCTTGTGAATTAAATTGCAAATAAACATTTTCATTGAACAAGTTTTCATATGTGTGGTTGGACTTGTTAATAAAACCAAGTCGAGAAGCGACCATCGAAGCTGCATTTCACTCGAAAATCCCTCCAGATAAGCGAATTATAATCACTTAGCCAATTAAAATAACACATTCAAGATAAAGGAGACATTGGGTGGAGGGAGGCGTTCAGAACACTGAAATACCGAAAAACAATTCGGCAAATTTCGCTACATAAGTAAATCGCAAAAAAAAAAAAACGCCAAATACCAGAATATTTGAATACCGAGTCAGAACTCGATGTCATGCCGAAACCAAATCTCTTTATATTACGTTTAGTGCAAATAACACAGAAATAACAATTAACAATTTGTTAATTAACGTTTAGTCGGATAATTTTCGATTCGATTGTGATTTTCTGAAGGAGCCAAAGGAGCGTATAAACATCTTTGTCTTAAGATCAAGATGTATCGTTTGAGTTTCATTTTTGGGTGAATTTCACCACTTTTTGACCACTTTAACCTCAGTATTGCTGCGAAACTTTATTGTGCTTCAACAAAGATTTGTAATTTTGCAAACCAGGACTACAAATGGGTGCGACAACATAACTCTATCAAGAATTTCAACGACTACTTACTCAGCCTTCCCCCCACGATTTATCTGTGAACACTTCTTAAGGACCGTCGTTATTTATCGCCCGGGAAAGGGGGAAGGGGGAAATTAGGAGGATTTTGGTTGTGTCACGAAAAGTTTTACCTGATTTCCCCCCCCCCCTCCTCCCCTCCCCTCCTCAAGGTTCTCTAATATTCTTATGATGTCTCCCAAATG